ATAAATAACAAAACAACTAAATAAATAAATTAAAAATATAAAAAAAAAGTTAAAAGCTTTGAAATTGTCTCCTATGGACAGTTTTGGGTAGGAATACTCATAATGCTCTGTCCACATGGTTAAAATCTTTTGAAGCAAGTGACTGTTTTTTTTTTTCCTCCGATCTATGAGTAATAGATCTTTCCATCAGTAAAATAAATAAATAGTTAATTAATTTAAGAAAAAAAAAATTATAAAAAAGGTAAAAGCATTGAAATTGTCTCCTATGGACAATTTTGGGTAGGAATACTCATAATGCTCTGTACACATGGTTAAAATGTTTTGGAGCAAGTGACTTTTTTTTTTTCCTCCGATCTATGAGTAATAGGGTCTTTCCATCAGTAAAATAAATAAATTAGTTAATTAATTAATTAATTAAGAAAAAAAAATTATAAAAAAAGGTAAAATCTTTGAAATTGTCTCCTATGGACAATTTTGGGTAGGAAACTCATAATGCTCTGTACACATGGTTAAAATGTTTTGGAGCAAGTGACTGTTTCTTTTTTCCTTTGATCTACGAGTAATAGGTCTTTCCATTAGTAAAATTAATTAATTAACAAAGAAAACAAATGTATAAAAAAAAAGGTAAAAACCTTTGAAATTGTCTCCTATGGACAATTTTGGGTAGGAATACTCATAACCCTCTGTACACATGGTCAAAGTCATCTATTATAACAAGAGACTATATTCTTACCTCAGTCAAGGATTGCTAGGTCTTTCTATTCATATAAAAGTAACAAATAAAAAAAAAAAAACCACCAAACAGTTGCAGCCTTTTAAAGCATTGCTTATGGACAATTTTGGGTAGGAATACTGATAATGCTCTGTACAAATGGTTTAAAATCTTTTGCAGCAAACAACTGTTTGTCTTTTCCCCCCTTATCAATGAGTAATAGGTCTTTCCATTAGTAAATAAAAATAAAAATGACCAAATAAAAAAACAAACAAAAAAAAAAACACCAAGAAAGACTAGGGCTTTGAAAGTATCTCCTATGGACATTTTTAGATTCCTATACTCATCACGCTTTGCACACAGTTTGAGTTGTTTCTTTTACCAAGTGACTGTTTGTTTTCTCACCTCAACTGAAAAGTTTCTGTTAAATATTTGCTTTCAGACCTCAAGTATTGTTCCATCAAATTGTTGGAGATTTCATGTGTTTAATGACGTCACCTGAGCTGAAATTTAGCTTTCATGTGTGGTTCAGTCAAGACTGGAAGGACAAATATTGGGAATCTCCGTAGTGAAATGGAAATACGGAAGAACAAAGATAGAATAAAGTTGGCCATACACCAACAATTCCCTTCCCTTCGCAGCTTTTAATAGAAGAATTTCAGGACGGCACCAATGGGACCAACCATGGAGCTGCTTTATGCTCTTCAGTCAACCCAGAAAAGGAGCTGATCTGGTTTGGTGAGCGGCTGAGAATGTGGGGGACATCGGGGTCAGTATTGCATGGAAAATTGCCTGTTTTCTTTTCACAAATGGTGGCCAATGTATCAGGTTGAGCTTGACCCTTATATATCCTATAGTCTTCTAAACCTTCAAAAATTTGATTAGTAATTTTACACCAGAGCTTAAACAGGGGACTAATATCATGCCCCCCCCCCCACCACCATCACATGACAGTGTTCAGACCTGGTGACTGGTGGCTATCACATAGAGGAAGTCACATGCTCTCCCATACCCTTGTGCGCACCGCCATAAACAAGGGCCCCTGGGAGTTTTTGGAATGTGGCTGAGAAAGTATACAGGTCTAGGGAGGAGGACAATGTAAAGACACTATGGGGTCTATTTATAAAAAAAAAAGAGCTATTTATGTTAGAAACCACATGTACATTTGTTCAGTGTGCATGGGGGGCAAAACTAAATGTTATTAGGCTATTTTCTCTCCAGGTCAAATTTGGGAATCAGGAAAATATCACATTATGGTCACTAGATGGAGCTGATCATAGGAAATGAACTATGATCATCATTTCCATCTAGTGACCATAATGCAGTATTCTCCCAAACTACCCTATTTCTAATAATTGAATAACATTCGACCTGGAGAGAAGATAGCCTAGTAACATTCGATTTTGCCTCTATTTGCACAGAATGAATGTACATGCAGTCTCACAGGACAAATAGCTCTGAAATATCCTGATCACTTTGCCCGGAATAGGCCCGATCTACCCATATCGGAGAAAAATATATTTGAAATATATTTTTAAAATATTCTTCCCAAATATATTGACATATATTTGAAAATGCTACAATTTTGGCCATATTCAATATATTTTTAAAATATAATATATATATATATATATATATATATATATATATACCGTATTTTCCGGCGTATAAGACGACCCCGTACTTTTCCTGTTAAAATGTAGTGTTTGGGTTATACTCGCCGTATAAGACTACCCCTCTTCCAATGCCCACCAGTGGAAAGAATCATGCCCAATCATTGGTGTCAGTGGGAGGAATAGTGTCCCATCATTGGTATTAGTGGGAGGAATAGTGCCCCATCATTAGTATCAGTGGGGGGAATAGTGCCCCATCATTGGTGTCAGTGGGAGGAATAGTGTCCCATCATTGGTATTAGTGGGAGGAATAGTGCCCCATCATTGGTGTCAGTGGGAGGAATAGTGCCCCATCATTAGTATCAGTGGGGGGAATAGTGCCCCATCATTAGTATCAGTGGGTGGAACAGTGCCCCATCATTGGTATCAGTGGGAGGAATAGTGCCCCATCATTGATATTAGTGGGAGGAATAGTGCCCCATTATTGGTGTCAGTGGGAGGAATAGTGCACCATCATTGGTATCAGTGGGAGGAATAGTGCCCCATCATTGGTATCAGTGGAAGGAATAGTGCCCCATCATTGGTGTCAGTGGGAGGAATAGCGCCCCATCATTGGTGTCAGTGGCAGGAATCGTGCCCCATCATTGGTATCAGTGGGAGGAATAGCGCCCCATCATTGGTATCAGTGGGAGGAATAATGCCCCATCATTGGTATCAGTGGGAGGAATCGTGTCCCATCATTGGTATCAGTGGCAGGAATAGTGCCCCATCATCAGTATCAGTGGGGGGAATAGTACCCCATCATTGGTGCCAGTGGGAAGAATCGTGCCCCATCATTGGTGTCAGTGGGAGTAATAGTGTCCCAACATTGGTGTCAGTGGGAGTAATAGTATCCCATCATTGGTGTCAGTGGGGGGTGGAATAGTGCCCCATCATTGGTGTCAGTGGGGGGGGGGGGAGGAATAGTGCCCCATCGTTGGTGTCAGTGGGGGGGAGAAAAAGTGCCCCATCGTTGGTGTCAGTGGGAGGAATAATGCCCCATCATTGGTATCAGTGACACCAATGATGGGGCACTATTCCTCCCACTGACACCAATGACACTTGCTGACCCCTGTTGCAGTATGGTGCTGCTGCAGCCAGCATATGTGGTTGCAGCAGCACCTCTGTACGGCACACTTACCGGCCGCTCCTTCACTCGATTTTCGCGGGGGGCCGCTCGGCTCCGCCTCCTCGCCGGTGATTGGCCGCCTGTGTGCCTTTCCTGAGCTACAGTTCTGGCAGCCAATCACCGGTGAGGAGGTGGAGCCAAGCAGCCGCGTGAACATCCAGCGGCCGAATTGAATGAAGGAGCAGCCGCGCTTCCTGGACCGGATCGTCGTGGGACCGGAGCCAGGTAAGAGAGCAGCAGCCCCTGGCACCCGCGCCACCCCCCTAAAAAGTGTCAGCATGCCGTATACCGGCGTATAAGACGACCCCCGACTTTTTGAGAAGATTTTCAAGGGGTAAAAAGTCGCCTTATACGCTGGAAAATACGGTATATATATATACATACTGCATGTTGAAATGCATTTTTATTACACAATGTATGAAGATATATTTATAAAAATACATTTATTTGGTATTGATTAATCAAAATATACTGTATGTCTTTCAAAAAAATAAACAAAATCTACGACATTTTTTTTTAATGCATTTACAAATATATGTAAAAATATATGTTAAAATTACTTTTTTTAGATGTTAGATAAAAAGAAATCTGAAGAATTTTTAAAAATATATTTTTTTTTTAAATATATTCTTTAGTTTTTTTTAACAGTAAAGTAATTTTTAACATATATTTTTTACATATATTTGTACATGCATTCCATAAAAAAAAAAAAAGCAGATTTGTATTTTTAAAGACTTACAGTATATTTGAAATGTATTTTTAAAAATATTTTTCATATATTTTGTAATAAACACACATTTCAACATGCAGTGTATATATACAGTATATATATATATTGAAATATATTTTGAAATTGATTGAATATATATATATATATATATGTGTGTGTTTATATATATTTATTGAATATGGTCAAAATTGTAGCATTTCATAAATATGTCAAGAATATTTTTAAAATATATTTCAAATATATTTTTCTTCCATGTGGGTAGTCATCTATGACTAATAAGGGACATGGAGGGTCCTGCTTGTCCTTTACTAATTAGTGGCCCCAGTAAATTTTGAGTTGTAACACTTCACAACATTTTGCTTTTCCCACACCGAGTGCGGGCTGCCAGCTCAGCAATGGTTTGCAGCTTGCAGATCAGGTTTCTACTATTGAATACTGTTTTTGCTCCAGCGATTGTCAGAGCTGTTCCAATAAATGGCCCGTCTACGAGGGAGTTCCTGTGTTCAGTCCTCACCATGTTTGCCTAGTGTGATGGAGACACCTTCTTCTTCTGTTCACCGGAATGCTTGCTTTGTTTGCTAACAGATCTCTGTAATTTCTCTCTCTCTAAGTTCTGTCTTTTCTCCCATAGAGAAAAAAATGATCACCTACTATTAAAATGTTTTGAACATTTTGGATCAATTAAAATAGTGCAAATGACGTTCCTCCATGCGAATGGCTCCTTAAACTTGTGCTCCGCCCCTGAGGAACCATAATCTTTTATCTGGAATATTATAATTATGCAGGAACATCCCCAGTTCTTACCTGTTTTCTGAGGACATGGATCAGGTTGTATTGGTCTGTGTAGTCTCTTTTCACCGAATCACTTGCTGCTAATTTTTCTCTTATCTGAATTTCGAGTTGCTTGTTTGACTTTTCCAAAGAGGCCACCTTCTCCAGATAATAACTGGCCAGACGATTGTTAAGATTCTGCATCACCTCCTTGTCATTGGAACCGTTGGACAGTGATGGTGTTGTGCACGGTGTCGAGGAGACAGCCCAGGGTTTTCCATCGTAGGATATGCTAGCTGAGGAGAACCTTAGCTTTGAGGAACCTCTGCGAGGGGAGACCAGGGGGAAGCCATGGGATACTAAAGAAACAAAGAACATGTCTTCAGACAAACAAGAATAAACAAGAAGAACTGGAAATATTCCAGTTTGCTCAAGAAAGGACAACTAATGTACCTCTTTAACTGTGTAACTATGCTACCAACAGACTAACTTTAAAAGAGGCCAAATTCCAAGGCTTTGAAGACCTTGTTTTCTCCAGAAGGACACCAACATCTTCATTCAGGCATCACCAAGGGTCGCCATCTACTTCCTGGATTGCGATGCCAGCTCAGAGATGGCACGGTCATGTAAATCCTTTTGCCTGTGCAGTCCTTACACAATGTCCATGTTGTATGGAACTGTGAAGGATTGCTACTATAACAGACCCTTTACAAAGCAACGCTCCCGATACTATAGGCACTACAGGGCCGCATGTGGCCTTCAGGTTGGCTACCAGAGCTATGTAGTCATTTTACAAGTATTTCACTCGAAGAAGAAGTCTTTTCCCATTGGCATGCTCATTACAACACCCAATGCAGCTACATACGTCCTGGACATATCTAATTACACCGGTATTACAGCTCTGTGAACTTTGACCTTGGAATTTATTTATTCATTTTGCATATGTCCAACGCGGAGTTACTGGAAACTGGCCGTTACTGAACTATTGACCTAAATGCAAATTGTGTGCTGGCTCTCAGGAAGATCTTACATTTCCATATACTGCATTGCTTCTCTTATCTCAGTTCTGAGAACATAGAAAAAAAATATTAGAACAGAGTCCCATTTTCTACATATGCAGAAGTAAAAGGGTCTACACCAGGGGTGGACTGACAACTTATGGGGCCCCCGGACAATAGGGGATCATGGGGCCCCTGTGTCCTTGCCCAAACTCAAAAAAGCCTATGAAAAAGGTACCAGGGGCAACTCATGGGGCCCCCTTCTGACCCCGGGCCCTCGGGCAGTGCCTGAGTTTTTCCAAATGGTCAGTCCGCCCCTGGTCCACACCCAGCCTGACGCCTACAAATGGCGCAAACGGTTTACCTGAACTAATGCTAATACTCTCCCCCCACCAGCTGTCCTTAAACTGGACGAACCCTTGAACCCTCTCTCAAGTCCCAGCCTAAAGATGGCCAAACAGGGAATGAAGTTTGGACAATGTCTTGCTGGACTGGCCAAAATGTATTCTGTGGTTAGTCCTGTCAGTACCACCCGAATGGAAAATTGGCTTTTGTTGAAGGAAACGGGAGGAAAACAGTCCCTTCATCTAATTAGGTGCAGTCACTGGCTATTCTGACAGCTGCATGCGTTTTTCCGCCAAAATAAAACAGCCAACACATTTTGGGGGCACTCCATGATTGCTCAGAAACTAGTGGTCAAGTTGGTGCTCCATGAGGAGAGTTCGGTACTGGTTCTAATATAGATCTGGGATGTCACTGTGTTCTCTAAGTCCATCCAAATTTTATCCCGTTTTAAGCTCCGATGAAGGGGTAGCAGTGTTGCCCTGAAATGTGTTGGATGTTTTTTTTTTTATATGATTTAGTTACCAACAATTAAATTAAACATAGGAACATAGAAGAGTGACAGCAGAAACCGGGTGGTCCATCAAGTCTGCCCCATTTTTTTACTTTATATTTTATACCTTTATTTTTTCATTAGAGATATAACAATAATTACATCAATTATTATTTAATAAATAAAAAAGTATGTATGTATATATATATATATATATATATATATTATAATTTTATTTTTTAAACATTTTTTATTTACTTTTAATATTTTTTAGTTCTCAGATAAAAAAAAATGATTACATTAAAGAATTTGTATGTGTCTATCTATCTATCTATCTATCTATCTATCTATCTATCTATCTATCTATCTATCTATCTACCTATATATCGACCTATATATACACATACACACACACAGTATATGCATATAAAACAGCAGATTAAATGTTCAACTTTGTTTTATTAATTTAATATTATTTATATAATATATAATATATATAATATATAATAATTAGATATCTTAATAAAAAATTATATATATATATATATATATATACACTGTATATTCTTATAAACACTACATATATAGTGTTTAATATAATAATATTTATAAATTTTATATATACAGTATATACTGTAGATTCTTATAAACACTACATATCTACATATATAAAAAAGAGCAGAGTCAATGAATCACTCGGACTTCTTATCTAAGACATTTTCATCTGGTTTTGGCCTGGCGGTCCTTTCTGGTTTTCTATAGCTTGAAAATAAAATAGAGAATATCAAAATAGCTGGCACTGCTGATTAGTAGGGAAGGGCTAGGCTTGGCCTGAACTGCAAACCTAGTTCACCAGAACTTGCAGCAAGCTGTTACATGATCGCATCGCCACCAACCCAAGCAACAGCACCCGATGCATTCTCCGCCCTCAAGTTGCACATACGCAAAAGGAATGGGGATGCGCATGACTTCATAAACTTAACATGGCAACATAGCCATATTAGGTTAATGATATTGAAATAATTAGATACAATATTATATAAAAAATTTGAAATAATATTTAAAAAAAATAAATTATAATAAAAATAAATATAAAATAATTGAATACAAATAAATATAAAATAGCTTAATGAAAAATTGATACACAATAATTTAATAAAATAAATTGCATGAGAAATGGGGGAATTAAATCATTTCTCTTGATCAGCCAACATGGTGAAATTTTGCAGAAATCTCCCAATTTTTAGAAAAATTTAGGGGGCAAATTAAAATTCCCAATTTCACTTGTCCCTACCCACCATCCAGACCCCTAGGAACAGCTGATCTCCCTGATAGAAATAGCAGCTAGACGCTTGTTTGAGTTCACTGTTTGACCTTCAGTTTACTGTTTGACCTTCAAGTCAATTGTTTGACCTTTGAGTCGATTGTTTCACCAAGATGCAGCTCCAGTTTTGGAAACCCATTCAATAGCGTTAATTTTGGGCACTATGGTGCCCAAAATTAAAAGTTACTAATAGTAATGAAAAAGGTCGCCCACTCCCAAGCCCACTCAGTCTGTTGTGGTCTGAAAAATCAGGAGCAAGCATCAGATGGAGCTCATCCATGCTCCCCATACATAGTTTCCAAGAAAGAACTGGCCGTGCACCAATGGCCTCAGCATTTCAATAGAACTTTATTATTCTGGAAGGCATGCACAAAGAAGCCCCACTTGGGAACCTCCCCACGCTAACTCCACACTTGTAGGATTAAAAAAAAAATAGCAATTAAAAAAAACCAAAAATTGAACTTATACAATTCTTACACAAGTCATTTTGTAAAAAAAAGACTTTTCTTTTAATTTTGTGTTGTGGCAATTTTTTTCTGTAAAATTCAATGCTATATTACATATTTCAAAAATATTCTTCCCAAATATATTGACATATATTTACAATACTACAATTTTATCTGTATTCAATATATTTCAAAATATATATATATATATATATATATATATATATATATATATAGATATATATATATATACTGTATGTTGAATGCGTTTTTTATATCTTACAAAATATATGAATAATATTTCAAAAAAAAATTTTTTTTTTAATTAATTCTTCAGATTTTTTTTAACATATAAAACAGTCATTTTAAAAAGGATTTGTAAATGCATTCTAAAAATGTAGATTAAGTGCATTTTTAAAGACAGTATATTTGAAAATGTATTTTTAAAAATATTTGTCATATATTTTGTAATAAAAACGCATTTCAACATACAGTATATATATATATATATATATATATATATATATATATTTATTAAAAAATATTTTGAAATATATTGAATATGGCCAAAATTTTTGTATTTCAAATATACAGTATGTCAATATATCTGGGAAGAATATTTAAAAAATATATTTAAAAATATATTTTTCTTCCATGTTGGAGGTTTTGGTGCGATACTCCCCAAGGGTTAATTATTTCTAAAAGGACCCTGCAGCTTTTCTCATCAGAACACTGAGAGCGCACCAGGTGATTATAATGAACCAGACCCTCCAATTCAGAATCAGTCTGCCCTAAGATACAAGTTCGATTTTAGGCATCCCCTGCAATAGGTTTTGGTGAGATACTCCTATTCAGAATCAGTCTGCACAGGACTTGGTGTAACACAAACAGTTCTTTCTTCAGAACAACAAAAGACAGGAATCTGCTCTCAAGTTTGTTCAAATGTCTGCAATTTACTTTGGGCACCCAGAGGGGATAATTTTTTTCTCAACAAAAGTGGAGTTACTCTTTAATCACCATCATTAAGCCTGTTTTCCCGGGGAGGTGGGGAGGTTCCCAGACATGGTTCTCATCTTACAGAACAATAGAGTTCTATGGAAACACTGGAATCATTAGTACGCAGCCAGCTCTTTCTTGGGAAAGGTATTTGATAGGGTGACGTCAATGTTGATTCTAAATGAATAATGGTTTAGTTTGCTAAAGCAATTTTTTTCATTTATTTTTGCATGTCAGTGCTGTTGATCTCATGCGGCCTCTTTGCAGCCACTTCCTGCATATATGCACTTCAGGAATGGCCGTATGGCTTTTCTCATGGCAAGGCTATTGTTATCTCTATTGAGAATGAATCTCACGCGGTGACAACACAAGAGCGCAAGTGGGATACAGGTGCAGAGTGTTGTCATCCTATAAACACTACTTTGAACATCTAATCATCCACAGGGAAGTTGCTGTGATAAAATAAATGAATATTTAAAACAGAAATTTGGGCACAATAGCTTTCATTTAAATATAATGCATTGGGTGCAGAGGATTTGCGCTTGGGGGGGGGGGGGGGGTAGGGAGGGGGATTTGTGCTTGGAGGGGGGAATGGGGGGTAATTT